GACCAACGGATTCGGAGAATATCTGGCGGCTTAGAACAAATACGCTACAAAACCTGTGTATCTCATTTACATCACACACGTATTTTATTGTAATAGAACAACTATTTCGTTCTAACTCTGTGGATATATTTTGAAGTGGAGAAGGGGATGCAGGGTGTTTTAATATCTGATCATAGGATATCTTCTTATTTCTTTATATCTCTCTTCTCTTTTTCTTTTCCCCTTCTTCTCTTTTCTTCCCTTTCCCTCTCTCTTTCTTTCCTCTTCTTACCCAGCCCGGTACGACGGCTTGATAAGCCCGGTAAAATCCGTCAAGGTGGCGGGGGGGGGGCAGTCTCCCCCTGCTATCGCTTGTTACGCCACAGGTTGTGGAAGGAGGGGAAGTCCCGTTTCCTCTCGATCCGCCCTGGCTAACCGTAATGCATTTTGCAGATGAAGACAGACCTATGGGAGACTGATGGAACAGTGACGGCGCCAGGATCTGCCCGATAATAGATGTTTGAACGTAATTAATTCACTGTAAAGAATATATCTGTTGTTTCATGGGCTTAATTCAATGTGAAAATTAATATATACGGTAGTCGGATAACTTAAAATAAAACGGCACGTGAATTTATATTATTATTATTATTATTATTATTATTATTATTATTATTATTATTATTATTATTATTATTATTATTATTATTATTATTATTATTATTGTTATTGTTATTATTATTATTGTTATTGTTATTGTTATTGTTATTATCATTATCATTATCATTATTGTTATTGTTTTTTGTTATTGTTATTGTTATTGTTATTGATATTATTATTATTATTATTATTATTATTATTATTATTATTATTATTATTAGGGGCTAGGCTCCCCGACCAGGGGGCTGTAGTCCCTCAGCCCCCTCTGGCGCCACCACTGTGATGGACTGGAGTTGAGTGTCATTGTCGGAATAGTGTCATGTGCACCACTCACTGACAGTCACAATCTGCCTAATAGTTTCCTTTATCGAGGCGTACTGTGTAATGACACTAGTAAACCAAGGACCAAATTTGAGCAGAATAATCTGAGAATGCTCTTCATTATTATTTGAAAGTCAGGGGCGAATTTAGTTGGTAGGGGGAGGGGGGAAGGGCCGGCCCCGCCCCACTTTTGGAAAGTAAATAAATTGATCTTCTTAGTTTCTTTATGCTTTAATGATCAATTTTGTTGTGTCTGCCTAAAATGTAAGCAACACTATTCTCAATACTATTATGCCCAGTGGTGCCTCCAGAGTCAACGGAATCAGGTCTGATGTTCCTGACCGGGAGGGGTCAAGGAAACTGGGAATGGCCAATCTTTCCGACGGGAGAAAGTTGGCGAGGTCAGGAAATCCAAAATCATACTATATAAATATATATATATACATATATATATATATGTATATTATATATGTATATATATAAAACACTATATATATTTAATTAAGTAATTGTTCTCTGTTTGACTCCATAATTTTACAATACAGCATAGATAATAGGTCTATAATCTGTCTACCTTATAGGCCTAATATTTAGAAACTAGTATAGAAACCGTCTTGCGGTATTGCTATGAATATATACATAAAGTTTGAACGTTGAATATATATATATATTTATATATATATATATACATATGTATATACATATATATACATATAAAATTGAAGGAAGTTAGCCTTTTGGCTTTTATAGGACTTTATTCGTTTAAAAGCTACAGGGTAGCCTACGATGTTCCATCATGTCCTTATTAAACACTATATATGTATGATTTATATTAGGCATATATATATATATATATATATATATATATATATCTCTTAAATATTACTTAAGATATAAATGCGAACCTAAACTCGAACAATATTTATTATACAAGAATAATTTCCCTGGAGTGAATATTAAATTGAAACTTAGATCAAACTCTTTGAAGTTAGAGGACTGTAAAAAATCAAAAACTCGGAGATATGTAAATTATGCGGTGAAACAATTCACCACTTCATTTTTTATTGTAATAACCTACAAGATATTAGAGATAATGTATTTAAGAAATTGAAAGATGATCATTAATAACGGATTACAATTATTTTGGGATACCTTCGAAAACAAATCAAATCAGCTTCAACTTCACTAGCTCCTTGTTATCTGCATACGTTACTCATAACCTATCTAATGAAATTGAAAATCACCAATATCAAAAAGCAGAACGATTTTTTGACCAATATTGTAAAGAATATCTCACTTTGGCTTGAAAGAAAAGATCTGCACTATACAATTCAAAGAATGCCCCATCCCATAATATTATTGTCTCCTGATGAAGTTTTTTTTGACTGATGCACTGTAATTTTTATATTTTCTGTGTTTAGTGTTTAGGATTTTTTTCCCTTTAATTTGGTAAATGTTTGTATTGATAGATTCATTCTGTTCTGTATATGTTTTTTGTATAAGGATGCACTATCAAATTGGAGTTTATTAAATCAATTAAAAACGATTCAGATATAAAAAATTGTAGAATGTATAAATATACAAAGATTTTAGAAACATTAACGGCATTAAACTTCACTGCTCCTGTGGCCATTTTCATCTAATTTTCTGAACGTATTACCTGTGTAGCAAGGCGTGAATTTTGAAATTCCAGAAAACCGCGTGACATGAATTAACGTGACGACGGAAATGGTGGACAAGGTGTGTTTTAGCACAACAGAAAAACACCATATTTTGTTTATTATTATAGGCCCAGGTATATTCGTGATGTACGTATCAGCAAAACTACTAAAAAGGTAGGCCTAAATATTTTTTTAAAAACGTCTAACTTTTTAAGTTGCGTTACCCAATATTACGAGTCAGTTTCCATGTAGGCCTAGGCGTGCATGGCATAGTGTATACACCCGGACGGACGCTAGGATTTTTTTCGATAAGATTTTTTAATATGTTTTTAAGGTATGGATTTTTATATAGTTGTACGCTTCAGTGTAAAGTAAAATGAAAAAAGCATGTTAGACTAAAACATTTCCATATCTTATAATACAGGGATGGTACTCGTCTCGACGTTATTGTGGCCATTTTCACTTAATATAATGGACGCACCACTTGTCAATGCCAAACATACCAAAAGAACCACGTAAACGAAGGGCGGATATGGAAGTCGATAGAATGTATTTTAGAGAAAACTCCATACATAATTTGCTGTATTATAGGTTATTTCCGTGATGTATGAATAAAAAAAATCTACTAAGGTAAGTGTCATAATCAAATATTTGTTACTTGAAAGTTTATTTTAAATGCCCTTTAAGCCATTGGGCGTGGATCGGTGGACGGGGTGGGGGGAGAGACACTTGGACATCTTGGTGGACATCATATCATTTTTTTACACATATTTTACCGAACGTCTACACACATTTTACCAATCGTCTATCGTCGAAACCTCACTTTTCAAAGCCAGTGGAAAGAACAACAACAATTACCATAGACAACCATGAATGTTGTCTATGCTCTGCCCCAAGTGCGGTGCATATTTCCGGAACAAAACCGATTAAAAACGCAATTGTTTGTACATTTCGTAACCATCTCAGTAACCACTTCATCGATTTTATGGGCACAACGGTTATCAGAGACTGAATTTATTGTGAAAACAATGTACAGTGTACATTGATCAAATTGGAAGCGTGTAAACCTATTAGGCCAACAAACTCTAAAGTGCACAATTTCAACTATAAACGATTTATTCCTTTTATTAATAAAACCCGTATATTACTAGTGTTTATATTATCTGCATACATAGATTGCTATTTTTCCAAATTTTCAAAAATTATAGTTAAGTCAATTGAATTTTATATAGCCGTTATTAAACAATAATTATACAGTCTTTGACACGGATCTATCTCTTTAAGTAGTGATACCACAAGTTTACTAACTCTTGACGGAATCTCGCCATGATGTCATGATAATGATAAATTAAGTAAATCACCTTATGTTCGTGAAATAAAATGCTAAATATAATGTTTTATGTGCTTCTTATCTCCCTAGTCCTGTTTGATCGTAAATTAGACGGTAGTATTTCTACTCTAAATAGCGTATAGTCGCAATAATATTGCGACTACTAGTAATATTATTATTAGTAATATTATTTTGACACGGATAAGTCTATCTAAGTAGTGATACCACAAGTTTACTAACTCTGTTACGTTGACGCATTTTCCATGACGACATGATAAATAAGTAAATCCCCTTTATGTTTGTGAAGTAAAAATGCTAAATGTTTTAAAATCATAATTCCATGTCATTCACGTCGGAATTTCAATCCCTAGCTGTGCATTTCGCTTGTGTCTTTGAGCAAGGCACTTATGCACATTAATGCTCTCCGCCCAGGAGTGTAAATGGGCACCTTGGTGCGGTTGAATGCTCCTGCGCTAATTACCAGCACCAACACTTAAAGCATGTGGACCAATTGACCAGGGAAAAGAACTGCGCTTTATAACCGGAAGAGAGGCGCATTATAACCCATACCAATGCCAGTACCAGTATACAGTAAGTGGTTTTACTTGCTGATTTGTATCATAATTTTTAGTTAGTTATGGCAGTAATTGATATTTGATATTAGATATATTTGAGGCATGCCATCCCAAAACAAACGTAGGCCTGGGGCTATTTTCAATGTAATCTCATCAGTATCTAAGTGTAGAATGGAACCAGAAATGCATCGACCTACTGATGTAGAACTACTACTTTATTTATTGTCGAGTACCGTTTTTTTTTTTCATTGTACAATATCGCAAAAACTAGAGCAGTCTCAAAATAAAAAATCTTTCAACTTATATTTTGACTCCTTTTGAATTTATTTTTAGGATTCAAATCTGTATCATAACATAGGGCCTGCGAATTATTGAATCGTTTACTCTATTCATGATACATGCATCCAAACAAAAACACTATTTAACAAACGGCGGTCTGACTGAGATTATAGTACACTGCATGCATGCACGCAAATTGAAGGCAATAGCCAAAATTGTAACAAATTACAGTATTTTATTTTAAAAATATTTTATTTCGATGTTTTGACTCGAATGTTCTGATTTTTAAAGTATTTAATTTTAACACTTAAGACTTTCTGTATAACCTTCTGGAGACCCAGATGTGATCAGACGACCCTCAAAAATTCACTCACGGCCCAAACTTGGGTTACGACCCATGGGTTGCCGATCGTAGAATAATTTGAATTAATAGTATATTATAAATAGATTTTATTATGACTGTATAACTGTTAGACCGCATGTCATGCATGCATAATAATATGCCAAATAAATATTAATAGAATTTCAGTTCCTTAACCTTTTTATTTGACAATTATAAGTGTTGGACATCAACCATCTATAATTTCCATTTTTTACTTGCCTGCCTACCAAAAAAATATTGAGAAAAAAACAATATATTCAAATTGTGTCTACAGGTGCAGTAATCATACATTTACTTAACTCTACTTCAGCCGTACGTGGTTGGGACTGAGGTAAAAAAGAAATATAAAATAGTACCTAGATGTGAAGACACTTTTATATATAGTAGTAAAATTCATCATCATCACATCACCAGGCAAAATAAAGCGTCAACAAATTTTTCATGATCTCTTATTAACGATTTTCGGCAAACATAGAGATCTAATTAATACTGTACATATGATGTAAAATTAATTATCATTGATCGTATGTTTCTTTGTTGTTTATGTACTTTTGTTGCCATGAGAAAAACTAATTTCATATTTTAATTTGACAATAAACCTATCTTGTATCTAATGTGAATCGCTGCGATAGAAATATAACAACATTATTGTCTTCGATTTATCTACTTTACCTACTTCATGAGCCGAAAACCAATTTATCTTTACACACTTTTTATCATACTTGTACATTAAAGGCACGCACTCGAGTCGTGTATTACAGTTAATTCAGATGTTTGTGGACAGAAAACACCGACCGGAATCTTGTTATAAAATAAGATGTTATCTGCCTGTAAAGTGGTCTTTCGTTAAAATCTGGTCATTTATGCAGTTCAATTCTACAATTTCCAGGAATATTCTTGACTTCCTTAGGAACGTGATGGGGACCACCCCCTTAAAATAGTTGGGGTACGTGTCGCCTGTCACCCCCGTCCATGCTATTCACCAGAAGACGAGGCATTATACAGGCATTATACAGTAATTCGGCACCAAATCCTGAATTTACGTGATTTCCAACATTTTTTTTATATGAAGAGAGTAGAATAGTAGGCCTATTTCAAATAAATCAATTATCAGTCATTATTATACTTTTTAAAATATCAATAATTATTTTACAGTATTTGCAAATAAATTTGTTTTATTGTATTAGCTATAAAATTTTAATTGGTGTTTTTAGGTAAGAAAATATAATAATAGGCCTATTCCTATATAGGGCCTATTGATGTAAGATCACTGCACCTGTCTCTTATACACATCTAGATGTGTATAAGAGACAGACACTGGGCAGGCCTCACTATTTGTCAATTAATCGTACCTATCATTGTATTTAAAATTAAAATTGAATTATTGTTGTAGATCCATCTACCCTGAAATTAAATATTACAGAGGTTATAATATCTAACAATTTCCGTGTTTACATTCTGGGACGTGACGTACGTACGAACTTGCCTACTTGTGTACGTACGTACGTGTGTTGCGTAAATGAGTACGCGCAGACTGTTGAAGGTATGTTAACCAATCAAAAGCGTCAGCGGCAAATCAAATTAAAGCGCTTCGTAACCAAGGCACAGCACACACATCCTAGGCACGGCGTATAAGCCCAGTGAAATAGTTCAGTTTTCTTTGCTATAAAAATCACCTTTCCCGTGGGTATATTTTGGTAAACTTTTTGTATATATATTCATAAAAAACGTTTTGTTGCAATTATGTCCAACTTTGGTGCTTCAAATCCGTATTTCTGGTGGACTATAGCAAAAAAACTCGTTTGGTTTGGCACATAATCCACATACGATTGAAGAAGTAATTTCTTTTAAATTGGTTTTTGAACTACAGGTATATATGATTTCTACTGATTTCGTTCCATACCTTTGGTCTGCGATATGTGATGCTTGCCCACTTGTTATTTTTAGTTCTATAAGTTTTATTTATTTCGGGTGTTATATGGATGGATGGACTCGAAAGTTATGGAACAGAGACATAAACAAAACACATCTATAGTACGCCTACTTGTACATAAGCATAGCGATAGTGGTAAAGATCTTAGATATTTACAGTATTTGTTTTTATAATAAGTTGCAGGGAGGGGTGTTGGTATTGTAAGTCACAAATAATCCTCGTTTTCTTTTGAAGTTATGGAGTCTATCAAAATTCCCATCTGTTCCGGTGCCCCAGACAGTAATTCCATAAATAATAACCAGTTGAATTAGTGATTTGTAAATTGTTAGCAAAATTTTATATGGTACAATACCTTTTAATTTACACAATGCATTAATTATAGTCAATACTATGGTAGCTACTCAAGTTTTTCATTTAAAAATACACCAATTCATAATGAAAGACTGATTGGATATTTTAACACTTGTTTCTACCTGTAAAAATTATATACATACAATAGAACCCCTATTAAGGGGACACCTTCGGGACCAAAAAAGTGTCCCCTTAATAGGGGTGTCCCCTTAATAGGAGTACCCCTATTCGGGGGACACTAACCAAAAATGCAAAATTGCCTCCTTAATAGGGCTTTTTGGCAGGTTTTCATACAATGATGACATAAATTCTGTATAATTTTATTTTTATTGATATAAGAATCAGCTAAGTAGAATTAGAACTAATTAATTTTCAATGTAAATACAATACATTTATAATATGAATTAAATACAATACATTTATATTTTTTTTAAATGAATATTTAAAAAAAAAAAATAAATAAATAAACCTAGAGGTCTGGGTTTCAGTGCCTCGCTGTACTATACATTTTGCTTGTGTCCTTGACCAAGGCACTTTATCTGCATTGCTTCTCCTGTATCACCTGTCTTGTCGGGCTCGTAGGTAGACCATACAGGCCTGTATGGTACATGTTATGCCCTAGCAATTTCATCAAACCACCGCTGCATGGGTTCTCTCCACACAGGAGTATATCTTTACCTGGTGGGGTTGGCTACTCCTGCGATGTGTACCAGCAGCAGCACTTAAAACACGAGGACCCAATGACCAGGGAAAAAGACGCTCGTATCTACAAAGAAAAGG